AGAATTAGATGATTTGCTGGTAGTCACAAGCCAGTATTCACCAGAAGCCTTTTATCCACAATACTAATATTGTCTCACACTACTTTAATAAAGCTAGTAATTGTTTTGATTATTTTTGTTATTCTCTAGCATTTCTAGATAAGCATTTACTAGGCATATACACTTTATGTCAGTCACTGTGCATAGGAAAGATTAATAAAATTGAAATTAAAAGCCTATTAAACTGATAAAATGACTAGGTTTTTTTATTTTTAAAGACTCAGTCAATCAACAAGCATTTATTAAGCATCTACTATGTACCGGGCACTGGGCTAGGCACATACTAGAGATACAAAGACATATATGAAACATTTCTTTCCCTCAAGGAGCTAATATATTAATATTATACAAAATTAGAGATAAATTTTCCTGCTCTTTTATTATGCTTATTCTTTTAATTACTTTTTCTTGTCTCATTGCTATAGCCAGCATTTCTAAAACTATGTCAAATTATGGTAGAGGCTGCGAGCAGCCTTGTTTTACCCTTGATCTTTTGGGAAAGATTTCATATTATCTATATTATAATGCTTTTGATAAGTGTCTTTAGTTATATTAGGGAAAGTTCCTTTCATATCTATGCTTCTATAGGATTTTTAACATATAACAGTGCTCATTCTTAGTGCGGTTATTAATGTAATTAATTATGTGCAGAGATTTCCCAATGTTGAACCATGCTGTCATTTTGTATATAAATTCAATTTATGACAATGGATATTTTCACCTCTTTAATAAGATTTTATTAAACATTTTTGCATCTATATTCATGAGTAATATTGATCTATAGTTCTCTTTCCCTGCTTTTTCCTTCCTTAATTGGTGTATTTTGCGCCATAAAAGGAGTTTAGTAGGATTACTTCTTTCTCTATTTCTGGGAATAATACATGTACCTCAAGTATTATTTATTTTTTGAAGGCTTGATACAATTCACTTCTAAATCCTTCTGTGTTGGAAGTTCTTTTTTTCCTTTTTCTTTGAGTTAAATTATGGCTTCCTAAATTTCTTCTTCTAAGATTAGGGGGTCAGATTCATAATATCTTGATTTTATTTATATTTTATATATTTGTGGGTGCTTATCCACTTCATTTAAACATCCAGGTTTGTTGTCATGTAGTTGGGTAAAGTGATTTCTCATTATTTTCTTTCCACTCATCTTGAATTCCCTCCTTTCATTTTTTCATCCTGGTATTTGGTTTTCTCTTTCATTGGCTAGTGGATTGCTTAATTTTTTATATATAGTGTATATTCAGAGATATGAGAAAGACATATTTCTCCCAACAGAACAATCTTCTTGAGAACAAGGACTATTTCATTTATGTCTTTGTATCTTCAGCAACTAGCCCAGTGTTTTGCACATAATAGTATTTAGTAAATATATGATTGACTTATTTCTTAGTCTTTAAAAAAAAAGCTGTTTTATCAGCTCAGTAGTCTTTATTCAATTTTTAAAATCTCTTTGATTTTTCAAAATTTTTATAAATTCAAACATACAAAAATATTCCTAGCACCATTATTTGTAATAACAAAAAACTATATACTATACAGGTACCTGATGATTAGGGAATGCCTGAACAAGCTATGGTATACAAATGTAATTTAAATATTATTACAACATGAAAATGGTGAATATGGAATACTCAGAGAAATATGGGGAGGCTCACAACTATTAAGAGTGAAGAAAGCAGATCCAGAGGAACAAGATATAAAATAAATATCACACTAAATATATAATAAAGATCACACTAAAAGACAATAAAATTCTGATCAAATATAATTGCCAGAATTGATGGAAAATTATCAAAGTTATAGTAGAAATACTTCCTTCCTACTGATAATCAGCAAATAATAGAACTAGAAAATGATATGTTCACAGCTGAAATCACTTTATAAGATGGTTTTTTCTTAATTGTTTTAGGAGAATGTAGGGGGTGAAGATGAGGAGAGTGAATATTTTTGTTTCCTTGGGATAATTCCAAGCGTTAAAGAGGTGATCAGACTCTCCTGACCATTCCCCAACATTTACCAACTAATGTTCTTTAAATAGTTAAATGGCAAACACACTTCCCACTATTATGAACGCAAAACCCAACACAATTCTTGTGTAATCCAATGAGATTTAGTAAAAGAAATGAGTTATCACAGATATGAATTGTTGTTGTTATTTTTCAGTCATGGCTAATGTTTTGTGAGCCCATTTGGAGTCTTCTTGGTAGAGATACTAGAGTGATTTGCCATTTTCTTCTCTAGGTATGTCATTTTACAGATGAGTAACTGAAGCAAATAGGGTTAAATGACTTGCCTGGGGTCATACAGCTAAAAAGTGTCTGAGGCAGGATTTGAATTCATGATGATGAGTCTTTCTGGTTCCAAGGTCAGTGCTCTATCCACTGTGCAGCTGAGCTACCCCAAGAGTTGAATCCAAATCTAAGGTGGATAGTCAGTTCTTTTAATGCAATTGCTTTTCTTGATCTACTTAAGTATTTCCAGATAAAGGGCACAATCTTCCAGACCTGTAAAGTTTCTTTTGATCCTGCCTCAGCCCTTTCTACAATGATCCAAATAGAGGTTGCCATATGAGGGTTTCTGGCCGCAATGTGATTTGAGGCTGAATTGTTCCTATACATGTAGTTTAAAAAAAAAAAAAGCTCTGCTTCTGACATCAGTCCTTATTAGCAAGGCCCCATAGCTCTTCAAGTGTTCTTGAAGATTTCTCCAATTTTCCAGTCGGTAGGTGCTTGATCTTGTGGACAGTCTTTCCTGAGCGCTAACTGATCACAGCACATGACTTACCCTTAGACATTCCTTTCTGTACTCACGATTGGTCTCTGACCCTCAGCTACCTCGTATATATGCTCCTTTTAGGTTAGGAGAAACCAAAGATAGACTAGTTCTCATAATTAACCTACAGATGCTATATGATGAGTGACATTTAGGGGTAGAGGTGATGAACAATCTGCTGAGCTTGTATACAAATAAGTATGCTGGGCACAACATTAACAGAAACTACTATTATCTTGGGGTAGGGGTGGGAGGTTGGCAAAAACCTGCAAAAGTTACTAGAAAAAATTTTTTTAAAATCTGTTGTATTTTTGACAAACTTATGAAGCCTCAGACACTTAATAGTTATGTAACCCTGGGCAAGAAACTTCACCTCTATTTGCCTCAGTTTCATCACCCATAAAATGGAATAATAATAGCGCCTGCCTCCCAGGGCTGTTGTGACTATAAAATGAAATAGTATGTGTAAAATGCTTTGCAAACTTTAAAGCATGATGCATTCTATAAATGGTAGCTTACTACAAGAGATTGTGTTTCAAAGACAACTATGAACTCAGCATGCAAGCAAAAATTATTACAATACCTCATAACTTAGTACAAAAGTTTCTTCTATTTAGGAAAAAAGGGTCTCAGACTGAAGACTGAATTTGCATTTACAATAGATATTAAGTAATAACAGTAAGTACAAGAAAAACAACAATAATAATCTAGGCTTAATCAATTAGTTAGCCTCACTATTACAGGCAGTAATTCACCAATCAGTAGCACCTCAACCTTGAGGTGGGTCACAGCAGTCAAAAAATGTACTAACATAAAGTGAAGTGAGAAGGGGAATTGGTTTTCTCCCCAGCCCAGCTGATACACTCCTAAAAAGCCAACAGCCAGAAAATAGAGGAGACAAAGGGTTACTGTGTTAAACTATATGAAAAACCATGTCTACACCTGCAGCATGAAGAATTATGGGAAGAGAAAGCCCAGTAGGGTGCTACAGTACCAGAACCACGAATTACTCAGGAGTACTCTGAGTTTGTACCCACTCTTCCCATTGTATATTTGTATACATTTATAGAAGGTACTGCCCAAATTTATGGAGGTAATGCTTTATAAGTTCTATTCTTTCTATGTCATTTTAACAAGTTATTTGAACTATTAGCTGACTTAAAGATAAGCTTGACTTAAAGATAAGGACCTCATGAATTACAGTTTTAGGAGGGTGAACCCACAGAATACCCTTGAACCCAAGGTCCTAGTTAGCTCCCTAGGAATCCAACCTACAAATCTTTCAGTGCTGAGTTGGGGAGGTGGCCCATAAAGGGTGCTACAAAAGAGTCTACTCAATATATCAGTTTAGGCCTTTGTAGGAAAGTGACTACTATGTCAAAACAAAATGTATCATTTTTAAATGGGGCCACTGGGTGACAGAATTGGATAGAACACTGGGCCTAGAGGCAGGAAGACTTGAGATAAAATTTGACCTCTGACACTTACTAGCTTGTTGTGACCCTGATCTAGTCATATAACCTCTGTTTGCCTCAGTTTCCTCATATGTTAAAATGGGATAATAATAGCACCTACCTTCACAGGGCTATCATATGGGTATCAGATGAGATCACACAGTACCTGGCACAAAGTATGTGCTGTATAAAGCTGGCTGTTATTATTATTAGATGTGACACTAGCCCTAATGAGTTTAGCCCCCAGAATTCAGCTATAAAGTCATCTCAGGGCTCTAGAGAAATCCCTGAGGGTTTGGAGAATTGTATGATTTGTAGTATGATTTCTTGTCTCTTTGTTGCCAAAAAACAGGATGATCTGCAAAATCTCATAACAAAAACCACAGGGGTTTATGGAGAAAATGGGGCTAGGTGTACAATGCTCTAAAACTTCATCAAAGACACATTACCAAAAAATAGCAACATAATAAAAATGGTAGTGCAATTTTACACATGCTAAATAGTTAAGAGATACACAAATATTACAATAAACAGTGGCAATGTCCTTGGCTTTCAGCTATTACTCAGCTACAGGCCAGGCAGGAGGGTATAGAGTTGGTGGGCCATACCACAAGGCTGGGGGGCCTCAGCCATGGTAGAAAGTAGGGAAGGAGGTAGACTAGGACTAGCCCATCCTCCACCCACAGCTCCTACTGCACCAAAAATATAATAAATATGATACTTTACCTTGAAAAAGCCCAGAGGTTTGCTGGTGGCCAAGGGCGTCAGAAGGGTTCAGCTTGTGAGTTATTGGGAAGTGGTGCAGTTTTCTCTGTATTTCTAGAGGAAGAAATTCTAAATAAGAAAACTCGAAATTTGAGCTGTGCTCAAAATGCTCCCTAATAGATCAATCATGTTGAAAGAAATTCTTATTTTCAAAACAAGTGTTATTGTAGAACTGACTATACTACGTAGCTCAGGAGCCCCCATTGGAGTTTCCCACCATAATTATCAGAGGAGAATCATTCAGTCAGCCAGATGAAAGCAGCTTTTTAAGAAAGGGATAGTTGGTACATAGGAAAAGAACAGTTGATAGAAAGTATTTCAGTGACACACTGATCCACAGTATTTCCACGGAAAAGTAAACTCAGGGCTAGAGAGCCCATGTGGCAAAAAAATAACACTTAAGTTCCCCTTAGGTGCGGTAGAGCTTCTTTGCTAGGCTCTATGCAGAGCTATGAATCTATATCTATGGATGAATCTACAATCTATCTTTGGCTCCTAAGGCAAACTCTGCTGCCTTCTGCTGGAGTCCCAGGGAATAATGTTAGGGCATCCATGGGAAAATGGGAAGTCTAAGGCCCTTTGGATTTTGCAAAACTTGCAAGGTCCTCCTCTAGCCAAGAAGTTGGGGATAGAGGGAGGAAACCAAGGCAGAAACTGAGTGTTCCCTTTCTACCTCCTACTCCCCACCCCTAGAGAGTTCTTCTATTTTGTTTTCCCTTGAGGCAATTGGGGCTCACTGACTTACCCAGGGTCACACAGCCAGTAAGTGAATTAAGTGTCAAGTGTCTGAGGCTGAATTTGAACTCAGGTCTTCCTGACCTCCTGATTCCAGGGGAGGTGTTCTATCCACTGCCACCTAGAGACTTCTAAGGGGAAGTTTGAATTTGAAATCTGAATTTTTGTCAGATGCTTGAAAAACTTGGGTTCTGAACTGGATTTCTATTTTATAGAACACACATAGAATATGACTAAATTTCCTCAACCAATCAGAACGCTCTTCCAGTCAACATCATTCCAGCTTATCCAAGGATTATTTACACTGGATCTAAAGGGTTTCATTGACTGCTTGAGACTTGGTCTCACCTTTTTTTTAAGGTATGGGACATTTTAATCACCTACTTTAAATGGGGGGGGTGAGAGGATGGGGGTGGGGTAGGGGGGTGACTTGATTGACTTAATCAACCCCACCTTAAACAAATACAAAGTCCTGAACCAGGGTGCAGAAGAATCAAGTACTCCATGACTAGACAATTGGTGTGAATATAGCTAGATGATGCAGTGGATAGGGTTCTGGGCTTGGAGTCAGAAAGACTGGAATTCAAATCTGGCCTCAGACATTTTCCTAGCTGTGTGACCCAAGTCACAACCTCTGCCTCAGTTTCCTCAACTGTAAAATAGGAATGATCCTGACAATAACCCTTTGAGGCAGGTGCTATTATTATCCCCATTTTACAGATAAGGAAACTGAGGCAAACAAAGGTTAAGTGATTTGCCCATGGTCACACAGCTAGCAAGTGTCTGCGACCAAATCTGAACGCAGATTTTCCTAACTCCAGACCCAATGTTCTATCCCCTATGCCACCCAGCTGCCCTATTTAAAAATGATACTTTTTGTTTTGACATGATAAGTCACCTTCCAGGGTTTTTGTGAGGATCAAATGAGATAACATTTGTAAAGCACATAGTAGGTAGTATATAAATGCTAGCTATCATGATCATCATGATAAGACCTATTTTAGCAGACCTCTAATTCAATGTGAGTCAAGTATGACTGAAAAAAAATCTAACAGAGGCTAAGGCTGAATTAATAAAGGAACAGTGTCCAGAATGAGGAAGGACAATCCAGCTGTGCCCCACCCTGGGCAGACCTAAATCTGGAATATGATGTTCAGTTTTAGGTTATCATATTTTGGGAAGGCCGATGACAAGATGGTACATCTCTAGAGGAGGTTGACCAGGACGCTGAGGGAACTTGAAACCATGCCATGAAAGGATCAGTTGAAAGAACTGCATAGCCTAGAAAAGAAAAGATTTGGGGAGAAATGATAGCAAAGTGCTCAAAGGAAATAAGGATGGTCCTAGGATTTAGGTATTCTATATTCAGCTTCCTAGGACCCAGATCTTATCACAGTTGGGCCATTAGACCTCATGTTTAGCCACAGGGATCTCTCTCCTTGTACCCTTATTGAACTTCCCTGATTGCTAAACCCTTTCTAGAGTCCTATAAGACCCTGAGCCAGTCTGGATTTCTGAATCTAGAGAAGTTACACTAGAACCCTCACTACCTGCATGTGTTGTTGGGTTTGTTTTTTTTTTTTCCCACCGATGCTGTTATCCTATCTAAGTGCCTCTTCTTATATTAATAGCTAAAATGTATATAGATCTTTAAGGTTCACAAAGTGCTTTACATATATTATTTCATTTTATCCCCTACAATAACCCAATGAAGTAAGTTTTATTATTCTCTCCATTTTACTTTTAATAATATTTTATTTTTTCCCAATTTCATGTAAAAACAATTAACATTCATTTTTTAAAAAAAATTGATACCAATATTAAGAGGTTTTGACTGGCATAAAACCAGCATTTTTCTTTGCAACTTCAGGACATTTCCTTAGTTACTCTTTTGATGGGTTTTTATTTTTGCTGCTGAGTTGAATGTTTCTGTGAAGTCTAATATTCCAATGTAGTGAGATCCATATGGGTATTTTTTCCTTTGATGCTAATTACAACTCTCCCTCTCTCTCTCTCTCCCTCTCCCAATCAGCTAGGGCTCTTTCATAATTTCTATCAACATTATAAAAATACCAGTTGAAAACATGACCTATCAGTGAGTCGTCCCTAAATTTCATCACATAATGATAGCATTTTTTTACTTGTAAATATATTTGGTGACATCTTTTAATCTGTTCTCATTAATGTTAATTACAAACCTGATTCACCCTTAAAAAAATTCGAGTTTCAGATTCTCTCTCTCTTCCCCGCCCCCTTTGAAAAAGCAAGCAATTTGATATCGGTCATACATGCTCAATCACACAAAAAAAATTTTCTATAGTAGTCATGTTGTGAAAGAAAAATTGACATAAAATGCAAATAAACCACCACGAAAAAGTGAAAAATAGTATGCTTCAGTCTCATTCAGACTCCATCAGTTCTTTCTCTGGAGGCAGATAGCATTTTTCATCATGAGTCCGTTGGAATTGTCTTGGATTATTGTATTGCTGAGAATAGCTAAGTCATTCACAGTCATTCATCATACTGTACTGCTGTTACTATGTACAATGTTCTTCTGGTTCTGCTCACTTCGTTCTGCATCTTTTTATGTAAATCTTCCCAGGTTTTTCTGAAATCATCCTGCTTGTTATTTCTTATAGCACAAAAATATTCCATTACAAATCATACACCACTTGCCCAGCCATTTCCCAATTGATGGGTATCCTATGTTCACTATTTTAAAGATGAAGAAACTGAGGCCAAGAGAGGTTAAATGACTTATTCGCTCATGTAGACAGTAAATATCTGAGGGAAAATTTGTCTTCTTGGCTCCAAGTACAGCATCCTATCCATTATGCCACATTATGTCACCCACATCCCTTTTCCCCTTCTATCCCATATTTCCACACATTTCGGATTATTAGAATTCAATTTCCCTTTAAAGAAATGTTTCTTACGAACTTGACTATCATCACTGTAATATTGTGAAAACAAATTTTGAAAGATTTAAGAACTCTGATCAACGAAATGATCAAGAGTTATTCCAGAGAACTCACGATGAAATGTGCTACCCACCTCCTGACAGAGAAGTGATGGACTCAGAGTACAGATTGAGACATATATATTTTTCAGACATATAATTTGGACTGTGTATATACACATATATGCATATATATATATATATATATATATAATTTCTATATTTTAAAGGGCTTTGTCTTTTTTTCAAGTAGGGGTAAGGGTAGGAGGAAGAGAAAGCAGATTTTGATTAACTGGAAAATTAAGAAAAAGAACAAGTTTCCAGCATTTTTCCATTACTGATTTGCTAGCTCTTAGTTTTAGATAGCTACTATTTGCCATATTGAGGAAAGGCCCATTTATTCCTCTGCTTTCTATGTTTTTAACACAAAGGGGTATTATATTTTATCAAAAGTTTTTTTAAACCTCTTTTGATTTATATAATCATATGATTTTTATTTTGGCTCTTAATATGGCCTATTACATTTATAGTTTTCCTAATATTGAACCAACTCTAAATTCCTGGGAGATGTATATGGTCATACATTTCTATGGTCAACCTGGTCATAGCATATAATATTTTTAATATGTTATTGTAACCCTTTCTAATATTTTATTCATTTTTTGCATTAATATTCATTAGAGATATTGGTCTACAGAATTCTTTCACTGACATGTCTCTTTGCTTTAAGTATCAGGGCCAGAATTGACTCACAGTAGTTTGATAGGACGCTATCCTTCCCTGCTTTTGACAATAATTTATATAAAATTGGGTTAGTTGTCCTTTGAACATTTGATAGAATTTGCCATCTATTTACCTTAAGTCTTGCCCTAGTACCATCTCCGGTGCTGAGTCTCAAGTAGTCAACCAGAAATAAGACCCCAAGATGTGCCTTCTGTAGGTAGACCATCTCTAGTGCTGGGCTGCCATTATCAGCTTCCTCTAGCCCTCTGACATATACAGGCAGCACCTGGGCCTTCTATGACTTACTAGGCCTTCTCCAGTGATGGCAGAGCATTCTAGTAGAAGACTTCCCCCCTCCCAACTACTAGTACCTTCTCCAGTACAGGCAAGGCACCATTACCTCCTGACTAGGCTGACATACCTATTCCTGATCCTGCCTGGTATGAATCTCTTTTGTATGGAGGAAATAAATACCTGTCCTATATCTGATCAATGGTGTGCACTGAGATCCTTTCTTCTCACTGTTTGGGAACACCCTAGATATGAGACATGCCTAAGTTTTCAGTGATTCTCCCTAGGGTTTAGGGGAGGGAGACATAAAGGGCCACAGAGGGCAAGGAAAAAGAACCTGAACCCT